TATGAGATACGCATTACATGCAAAGCAAGATAGTTCAAGCCGTGATTTGTCATAATTGTGATGATTCTAACTTACAGCTCATGAAAACCCTAAATCCACAATCTCAGAAAATTAGAATATTGTGAAAAGGTGCAATATTCTAGGCTCAAAGTGTCCCACTCTAATTAGCTAATTAAGCCATAACACCTGCAAAGGGTTCCTGAGCCTTTAAACAGTCTCTCAGTCTGCTTCAGTAGGAATCACAATCATGGGAAAGACTGCTGACCTAACAGTTGTGCAGAAAACCATCATTGACACCCTCCATAAGGAGGGAAAGCCTCGAAAGGTAATTGCAAAAAAAGTTAGATGTTCCCAAGTGCTGTATCAAAGCACATTCATAAAAAGTTATGTGGAAGGGAAAAGTGTACCTGGGCCCTAAAATGTGTCAAAATCTCAAAGGCGGTACATGCATGTTCTAGGTTCTCCAAATGATTCAAGGAGTGCATAGAATTACCATCTAACTCTTCTATGTCAAACCTTCCCCAATGTCCAACAAGTGGCACTAATTTATTTGTTTTGTTTACAGCCTTTTTCACCCCTTCTGAGAGTTCATTGTGCACGCAGTGTCCCCATCCTTCTCCTATAACAATTCTATGACATAATCTTGGCTGTGCCAGAAGGAAGAGTTTCAAATTATGCAGGGAGTTCTACAGTCAAGCGAGGATTTGAATAAGGTCTTTCCTGATCTAAATACCATGCACTACACTACAGATAATATTTTGAAAACATCATTGCAAGTGAGCTTGGCATCTGGCTCTCATTAAAGGGAACCACGAGAGTTGTTATTTACCACTTTAGCTTATATACCTTTACCAGAAATTTGACACACAGCAAGAAAAGCTTATTCCAGATCTACACCAGAAGATTAATATTGATTATCTACTGCATATGGAAATGTTGCTGGAGCAGAAACAAGGGGCTAGTTGAATAGCTCTCAGAGGTCTTTTCCCCTTCTCTCTAACAGTAAGCGACATTCAGCATACAGCAGAATTGGGGAGAAAAGGCCTGCCAAACCAGCAAGTCTCATTTCTGATGTGTGAATTCATGAATCTGAAGAAATGAAGAGGACTACATGAGGCTTCTGTACAACACAGACAAAGTTCATCTCCCTTATGAGCCTGTGTACCATGGAGACAAGGCTGAACTTATGAAGCTGCATAGACAGAAAACACCAACAAGCAAACTGCTCTGAAAATTACTAGAGAGAGAGACAGACAGATAAACAGACAGATAGATGGACAGATGGTGGATTTTTACTTATACTTAGCACAAAATATAACTATGACTGAGCTAGAGAGCAGTAATTAATAACTGGTATTAATTAATTTGTAATGTTGGCTGGTCAGTAAGGTACAAATAGCTGTTTCTTATTTGGGGAGGAAGAAGGGTATCATCAAGTTGAGTTTGACTTGTGGTGACTCTATGGGCAGTCACTTGCCATCAGAACCCATTGTGAAACATGTTATTGTACATCCTGGTAGGCAAAAAGGTTTCCAGAAAAGCAACATAGTGTAGCCATGTAAGATTGGAACCCACAAATGACCAGCAAACTATTACTGTCTTGCTGAGGCAACCATTGAGAAGTTATGCATTTTTCTAAGAAAAGAATGTAAGAACTGAATTAAAATATCTTTTCCTAATCATGCCTCACTGAGCAATGTATTTGCTAACAGTTTGAAAGGATGATGCATTGATTCTATCTGTGGTTATTTTAAAACCAGTCTAGTAACAATGTTTGAACATCACATGAAATCATTACAAAGTCTCTGTGCATCAGAAAATCTTAGGTCATCTAGTAAGTGTTGTTTATGTATTTGGAGAAGATGCTAAAATAATTAGGCAATTACTATTATGCTACCTCTGTATTCTGATTTTCCTCCAAGACGTAAAATTCTTTTTAAAAGTAATCTATCCTTATCTATTGCTACTAAAGCTCCACTATGTGTCTGTCTGTAACCTGAAAACCCTTCCTTCACTTTCAATTAATTGTAACAGTATTTATTCAACCTTGCCTATTTCTAATTTTTTTAACTTTTATATATTGTTTTTATATTTCATTGTACACTACCCTGACTCCCCTTCTGAGAGAAATGTGTGGTTCAAAATGTGAAAAATAAACAAATAAATAAATTTTCAGTTAGCCCGAATAATGTATTATAATGCAACAGTTTTTGAATCAAATGACCTCCAATCTGCTATGTTAAAGAATATGTACAAAATCTGGGACCTCTTATTACCACTGAATTGAAATTTCAAGGATCTTCAAACCAGTTGTATTTGCAAAGTTGTTGCTACTGTAGCATCCAGATGGGCAGGCACAGTGACATGACTGTAATTTCTAATGTTCCTTGGCAGCTTCCCATGTGAAAAGTCAATGGGGAAGCCAGCAGGAAATTGGAAGTCATTCCCACTGCTTTCTTCTTCATCTCTGGTCATTTTGTTTATCTCTTTAGGTAAATAGATATTGACAAAGAATCACCCAATGAGTCATAGATTCTGTATCCATAGGCTTATGGATTGTAATTGTAGGCTCTATGGATTGTAATTTTGATACAACCAACCCTATTTGCCATAAAGCCTTAAATTTATGTTTTTTGTTTGATTTACTGTTTATGATACTGTTTATGAACTGCCTGGAACATTGTAGGCACTCAAACTGTCTTCAGATCAATCGGAATTATATTAAGTTAAAAAAGCAAAAAGGATTTTCTCAGAATTTAAACTGTAGATATTTGTTGTTTCTATTCATTGCTTGTTATTCATTACTAATGTTTAGAATGTTAATGTTTTAATGTTAATGTTTTAACTATTTTATTGTAATATGTGATGTTCTGGAAATCCTATATTTGGAAAAGTTTATGAAATCTTCTATTAACAATGCATGAATAAATTAATTTCTACAGGGTTCAGCAAAGATAGGATTGCAATCATGCAGACTTTGGGCAAAATCCTATCTTTTACCTTCCTGGCTCCAAGATGTTTAATCAAAGCTACTATACAATCATGATCAGAAAGAGACTGATAACCCATTTCCTAACAAATATTCTTAAAAGTTAGTCAGCAAACGTTAATCAGTTTGTTAGAAATGTTAATTGGGAAAAGTGCTCCCAGAGTTATGATTTTTGATTTTCAGAGGCTAACAGTTCTCCTATAATTACTGCAAAATCACATTATATGGAGAATTTGCATAACATGCTGCTGAAATGGAAATCAGTACTATATGAATTTGATCTAAAAATAGAACGCAGAATATACTGAAAGGTAGAAATTTGGAAATATCAATAAATGAGCTTTAATCATTTAAATTTGAATGGATGAGTCAATGGAAGATTAATTACAGAAAAACAATTTTAATAGCTGTGATTGTAGACCAAGAATTAAGGTTTTTATCAACTGACATTATTTTGGCTTCATTATATTAAATATAACTGGCTGAGGAGGAGGAAACTTTTGTTTAAAAAAATAGATGACTGTTTTTATTTAATTTTAAATTCTCAATTCCTTGAAACACTTTGAAATTATTTGGAAAATTGCAAATGAAGTTTCTGCTAACTACAAGATTGGTTGTTTCAATAACCAATCCATCCATTAACAATTACTTAATCTAGCCTTGCCAAACTTGGTACTGTTTGGATATCTTCTGATTATAATAATTGTCCCAAGCTATTCAATATAACAAAGGTAGAAGGAAAAGCAGGACAGATGTGTGTTATAACATTTACTGATGCCATAAATAGCCTGAAGATACTTCATTTCATTTGTGCATGTAAATAGCCTGAAGATACTTCATTTCATTTGTGCATGTAGCGATAGAGTATGTCCTTATTGGTTGCAGATAAATATCTCTTCTCCATTTTGTTTCTATAGATCCTTAAAATTCTAAAACTTGCTTATAGTTTAAAGCAATATTCTTAAAATTCTAAAACTTGCTTATAGTTTAAAGCAATATAGATGTCTGACAAAAAACGATGTTTGGAAAGATGTTTTCATTTGAATCCAGTTCTTGAATATCCTAAATCAAATNATAGTTTTCAACTGGACAAAAAAGTAAAGAGGATAAAGGATAATTTCAGGGGCAAATTCAATATAATTGGACCGAGAAAAGCCTGGACCAATAAAAATATTACTGGCTATTCACAGGGCTGGTATTTGATTCCTGATCCATACTGCCAACAAATTTTATATATTGTATATGATTGTTGTCCACATGAAGTTGATAAAAGCTTGAAGAAGGATGGATCTTAAGGTTTATAATCAATGATACTGGGCAACTTTTCCTCCTTAACAATTTTTGTTTGGATGAAAGCAGTCAAATTTAATGTTTAGATTTGGGCTGTCTATAAATGAGGCAGGAAAACCATTCTGGAGGCTTTTTGCCTTTTGATTTGACTGATCCCACCCAACCAAGCTCAACAGTTGGCCAGTTAAATCTTAAACACTCACATATGGATATCTAGCTCAAAGGTTAATGTGAAAAACTAGTGATTGCTAATTGAGTTGGCAAACAATTCAATTATATTCAGTCAATTCAAGGAATGAAATGGGTAATGATCAAAGTAGGAATTTATTTCTCTAAAAATACTTTAAACTTTTTACCAATCGTCACACTTAGAACCAACTAGAGATCACTCACTTGAATGGGTGTCCTTCATCAGTTTTTTGCACAGCCTGTAGCACTGATTTGTAGATTCTGAAGCTGATAGTGGCCGAGAGAGCTGCTAATGCCAAGTAAGCAATTACACTGACAACACTGAACTGGGTTAGGGAGAATAATAACAGCAGGATGCTTCCAAACATGATCCCAGTCTGCTTGATGTCACGCCAGTATAAGAGATCAATAGCTGGAGGATGAAAGGCAAACAATAAATTCTCCAATCGTATCATCAGAGACTTCGATCACAAATAAATGCATATTGAACATTATGGCAAAGTTGCAGCCCGATTAAATGATTATAGAAGTATAACGAATGCCTAGCAGTCCAAACCTATGCTATGCCTACTGAAATTAATTTGTGTTATTTCATTGGTAAGATAACCAAGATTTTAATACCTTTTTGTGCTTTCTTCTTTTCCTATGCTTTAATGCAGGAGTGCCAAACTTGATTTCATCGAGGGCCGCATCAGGGCCGGATGGACATGGCTAGCTTGACATCACTTGTGTCAGGAAACACCTGTGATGGCCCAGGCAAGACTGTGGGCATTCTCCTGCAGCCCTCTTCCAGCGAAAACAGAGCCCGGAAGGGCTGCGTGTGGCTCTCCCAGGTTCTGTTTTGGGGCACAATG